TCTGCATAAAAATCCTGAATGCAGGGATTTGGAGAGGTTCCAGGTTGGTGAATGCATCCAATGCCAGGAGGGTGGTGCACCCCAAACTCCATGGCGTCAGAGCTCCCACATTTGAGACCTTTCCAGATCTCACCATATGTACCTCTTCATGCAGCTGTTCCTTTGTATCCTTTACAATATCCTTTATAATAAATCAGTAGTAGTAAGGAAGTATTTCCCTGAGATCTGTGAGCCATTATAACAAATTATCAAAACCTAAGGAGAGGGTCTTATGGGAACCTTCAATTTGCAGACAAGTGGGACAGAAGTGTGAGTAACCTGGGGACCCACTACTTGGAATTGGCATCTGAAGTCAGGGGCAGTCTTTTGGTACTGAGCCCTTAATCTGTGAGGTCTGTGCTAACTCCATAGTTAGTGTCAGAATTGAATTAAACTGTAGAATATCCAGTTGTTGTCCACAGAGAATTGGAGAATTGCTGAGTGTGGAAAATCCACACATTTTATGTCAGAAGTGTTGTGAGGTGAGAAACAGTTATCATTTAATAAGTAAACCAAACAAAAGTGATCCAGATTGGAAAGGAAAAAACAAAACTGTCTTCATTCACAGATGTCATGATCATCTATGTAGTAAATCTGGTGGAATCTTCAAAAAAACTATTAGAACCAATAAGTACACTTATCAAGGTTGCAGAATATATAAGGTCAACATACAAAACTCAACTGCATTTTTATGTAATATCAAAGAACAATTAGAAACTGAAATTTAAAAAACAATACCATTTACAATAGCATCTAAGAGTATGAAATACAGTATTTAGGGATAAATCCAACAAAAGATATGCAAAAGCTGTACACACAAAAGTACAAAACATTGCAGAGAGAAGTTAAAGAAGGCCTAAATAAATGGGAGACCTACTATGTTCATGGATTGGAAGACTCAATGTTGCTAAGATACCAATTCTCCTCAAATTGATATATACTTCAACACGATCCAATCAAAATGCAAGAAGGCTGTTTTGCAGAAATTGACAAACTGATTCTAAAATTCACACAGAAATGGAAAGTATCTAGTATAGCCAAAACAACTTTAAAAAAGAACAAAGTTGAAGAGCTAACACTACCTGATTTGAAGACTAATAAAGCTACAAGACAGAGTGATACTAGCATAACAATAGACAAATAGCTCAATAAAACACAACAGAGGGGCCGGCCCCGTGGCACAAGCGGTTAAGCGAGAGTGCTCCACTGCTGGCAGCCCGGGGTTCGCTGGTTCAGATCCCAGGGGCGGACCGACGCACCACTTGGCAAGCCATGCTGTGGCGGCATCCCATATAAAGTGGAGGAAGGTGGGCACGGATGTTAGCCCAGGGCCAGTATTCCTAAGCAAAAAAAGAGGAGGATTAGCAGATGTTAGCACAGGGCTGATCTTCCTCACAAAACAAAAAACACAAAAGAGTGTCCTTAAATAGATCCATACAAATGAATACAAATGATTTTCAACAAGATTAAAAGGCAACTTAGTGGTGCCAGAATATCCATATGGATATCAATATGCAAAAAAAAAAAATGTACTTCAATCTATATCTCAAACAATATAAAAAAATTCTATCAAAATGGATTATAGGGGCCAGCATGGATTATAGTATAGTGGTTAAGTTTGAGCACTTCACTTCAACGGCCCAGGGTTCAGATCCCAGGCATGGACCTACACACCACTCATCAAGCCATGCTGTGGTGGCATCCCACATACAAAATAGAGGAAGATTGGCACAGATGTTAGTTCTGTGACAATCTTGCTCAAGCAAAAAGAGGAAGATTGGCAACAGATATTAGCTCTGGGCCAATCTTCCTCACCAAAAAAAGGGATCATAGACCTAAATGTATAACCAAAAACTATAAAACTTTTAGGATAAAATCTTTGTGACTTTGGGTTAGGAAAACACTTCTCAGATGCAATACCAAAAATAGTCCATTAAAGAAAAAATTGATAAATTGTTCCTCAAAATCAAAAACATCCCCTCTTAAAAAACAAACAAAAAATCTTCTCTTCAAAAGACAGTATATACTGTGAATGGAAAGGACTTATATTCAGAATATACAAAGAATTCTCAATAAAGAAGCAAACTATCAATTTTTTTAAATGGGCAAAATATGCAGACTCACCAAAGAAAACTTACGAGCAGTAAATAAGTATTTAATGACAGTCAATATCATTAGTCTTTAGAGAAATACACAGTAAAACCACAATGAGAGAGCAATACACATCTATTAGAATGTCTAAAATTAAGAGGATTGACCATACCAACTGTTGGTAAGGATATGGAAGAAGTGGAAATCTCATACACTAGTAGAGGTAATGTAAAATAGTACAATCACTTAGAAAAACAGTTTGGCAATTTCTTTAAAAGTTAAACATCCACCTGCCATGTCATCCAGCTGAACCACTCACAGGTTTTTATCCAGGAAAAATAAAAGTATATGTCCAAAAAATATACTTGCACAAGAATGTTTGCAGCTTTATTTGTAATAACCTAAAACTGGAAAGAACCCAAATGTCCATCAACAGGTGAATGGATAAACAAACTTTGGTATATCCATACAATGAAATACTATTCAGCAATTAAAATAATGAACTATTAATGGGTGGATGCATCTCCAAATAATTATGCTGAGTCAAAGAAGCCAGACCAAAAAAAATAAAGAGTACATTTCGTATGATCCCATTAATGTAAAAATCTAGGAAATGCAAACTAATATATAGTTACAGAATGCAGATCAGTGGTTGCCTGGGGAGGGAGGGGAGCAAGGAGAGTTAAGGGGTAGGATTACAAAGAAGTATAAGAAAACTTTTGGGGATGATGGATAAGTTCATTATCTTGATTGCGCTGATGGTTTCACAGGTGTAAAACTATGTCAAAACAACAAATTGTACACCTTAAATATGTGCAAAATTTAACAAATTGTATGCTTTAACTATATCAATGATACCACAATAAAGCTGTTTTCAGGTGTTCATAAATAAAGCATAACCCCTAATAAATGTATATTACAATGGATAACTTTCAAACTACTAGAGGTGAAAGTAAAGAAAAGAAAAGAATTGGAAAGAAAATTAACCAATCCAGCAAAGCACAGTAAAAGAAAACATAACACAGAGTGGGGAGAGAAAACATAGAAAATGAGACATACAAGATAAGATTGAGAAATATGACCAAATATGTAAGTAATCACAACAAATGTGTATAGTTTAAATTCTTTTATTAAAAGTTAAAATTCACAGAGTTAATAAAAATTAACTATATCTTTATTAAAAACCTCTAGTTTTTTTTGTAAAAGGCATGCTGAAGATAAAATGTCACAGAGAAGTTGAAAATAAAGAGATAGATGATGACATACCAGGCAAATATAAACCAGCAAAAGGATGGACTGGGCAGCCAAGGAAGTGAGTTGTTCAGGTTTCCAATCAAAAAAGAACTTACCATTCAACTGCAAAGAGTGCAATTAGATGATGGTCTCCAGTTAACACCTTCAGGATCCATTTCAGCTTTTGAACTGAGGCCATACTCTTCCCAGCCAATGACTAAACATGAGCGGGTATCAGAGTTTGCCTATTCTGCTCATGAAAGACTCTTAGAAGCAATTTTTGCTCTAGGGCTTCTCATTGGTTTGGCCAAGATTTTGACAGTTCTATATTTGATCTGAGGCTCTCCGTCTTGTCTCCTGCTCCCTCCTCTCTTTCCTTGCACCGGTTTCATTCAAATCAGTATCACCGTCTAAAGGCTTTCCCTCCCCTATCCTACCTCCTCCTCCTTTAATCTTTTACAAGTGTAACCTCTCTCCCCTAATTAACTTTGTTGCTCCTAACTCCATCTCAGCCTCTGCCTCTTGGAAGACCTAACTGACACACCTGATCCAATCTCTAGATTTTTTTTTCTGATTCAGCAGGTCTAAAGTGGACTTGGGGAATCTACATAATTTTTTATTTCTCCACATGATTCTGACGTTCAACCACATTTAGCACCCCTGTAGTGGAAGTTTTAATACTTTTATTTTCCGTACAATACAATTTAGCATTTATAAACCATCTTGAAGTCTTTACTATGGCATCATTTGACATGGCTGGTTTGACACCATCAAGGTAAGATGCAAACAGTTTTGTTTTAGTGTAATAAGTTTTTGTTTTTCAATAATAATTAAACAGATATTTTTGAACCTAACTGTGAGCCTCATTCCAACCAGGATTGGATGAAAAATTAAGAAAAGATCAAGTACAGGGTTATAATGTCTAGTGTGTACACTGCTTGGTAATATTGGTGTGGAGAAATTTAATGGTTTGGTTTCTAGGCCAAGTCAAAATGGTAACAAAATGGTTTGGTGAAAATATCTCGTGTGAAGTGTCTTTATACTAGTTTGATATCCAAAATAGACTAAAAATCTCTTTAAGGATAAAGCCTAGAGTAACCAAAATGCCTGGAGGGAGGAAAAATATTAATAAGACAAAATAGCTGTCTTAAATGTTTCAAATGGCATTATTGAAGAATGAATGGATTTGTTTTAATTTCTACCATGATGAAAAATTTTAATGCTTTTCCTGCTATGGAGAAACAGACTTATTGTTTTCCATAAATAAAATATATTTTAATTATATTTAAAAATGATTAATATACACATTCCCAATATTTTATTCCACAGAAAAATGAAGGAGAGGGGCACATCCATTGTCCATGGCCATTCTCTTAGCACATAGGCCATATTTTATAGATACCCAAGTCCTCTGTAATGCATATTTAGCTGCTTATATAGTCAATAAACATTTGTTATTTGATAAATACATCAGAATAAAATGTACACCATAAAAATACACGTTTGCAATTTATCACATGTACAAAACTGTCAGGCATTAGTTATCAATACCTCTATAGAGATTAATGAGTTCAGAGAAAGCTAATGTTCTCACACGTGTTCTCTCTCTCCCTCTCATAAACATGACAGAAAACTATAAATCTAGTTTTATTAAATAGTATAATTATTATTACAATCGTACATCATATTAGCTAACTGGTTGATTAGAAGTAGGAAGTGGGAATCTTGAAGATATTAAAATAACAGTATAGGGAAAGGCACGTTCAAACAAGGTTGGAGGGAATGTAAATTGATACAATTTGACATATTAATCAATAATAAAAATGCACAAACTCTTTGGCCTGGCAATTTCACTCAAGGAAATTATCCTACAAATATACTCAAACAAATACAAAGAGATATACACACAAGAAACCTTCTATGTGGTATTGTTTATAGTAGCAAAACAAATAAACAAAACTTAAGACAATCTAAATATCCATCACTAGGGTTTTGGTTAATTAAATTATGACATAACTGTACAATGGAATTTTATGTAGCCATTAAAATGAATGAGGTAGCTCTGCTTGTGTTGATATAAAAGATCTCCAAGACATATTATAATATTAGCTTTCTAGAAGTACAGAACAGCACTATAGTATATTCCCATTTGTGTCTTGACAAGGATATGTTTATGCATATGTAAATAGATATATAAATGTATATGCGTACCATGGGCATATAGATATGTCATATGCACATAGAAATTTTCTGGAGGAATACATAAAAATTGTTGATGATTGTCCCTGCTGCAGAGTTATTTCTTGAAGAAACTTGGTTTTCATTATCTACTATACTGAACAATTTGAGTATTTTATCATGAGAGTGCTTTCTTTGTAATAGCATCAGTTCTTCAGAGAACTATCTAGTAGCAGCTAAGATTCTAAAATTTCAATTATATAAGCATATAAATGCAAATCTTTCAAGTCTTTGTCTTCTAAGAATCTTTGAAAAGCTAATTTCAAAATAGATCTTCCATTCTCAAACTCTAAGAAAATCAAGGCAGTAATTGTACTGTATCTTGATTCACTTGTCCTGGTGCTAGACTCCAATAACTTATAAAGTATTGAGACCTGTTCCATCAACTTCACTTTGTAACACCCGAGACATCTTCACCTTGTTTGCAGTATCATACAGTGGATTGTTCTTCTCTGTGTAGCTGGCATAGGGCTGCATTTCATCCTAAGAAAGAACCCAAAGTCAAAATTAATTTTAAAAAGCCATAAATTATAATAAAAACTACCTACGTTTTTCTAACAGGTGTCCACAGTCTTAGAATCTACCAATAGTGCTTTTGTGTCTCTGGGCTTAGATGAACATAGAGCAATTTTTTTTTTTATCATGAAAAAATTATTGATTACTTAAGTCTCGGTGTCAGATGATAAAGGTTGTGTGAAAGCAGGAACGGAGAAGAATGAAGTGATATGAGAAGTATTTTGAAGGAGAGGGTCAAAGACTTAGTAAACTATGGGTTATAGAGATTAAGGAGTAGGATAGGTTTTACCCTTGGGTAAGAGGGAAATGATAGGTTTTAAGCTTGGGTAAGAGGGAAATGGTGATGGTATTGAAAACGGGAAGTCAAGCATTAGAGATGCTTTCATGGGGGAGGAAACCCCAACGCAGTTTCTCAAAAGATTACCATTCAAATGAGGCAAACATTATGTGTTTTTTAGGACGCAGTTCATGCAATGAAAATATGGATTTGGGGTGGTGTATAAATAGTGTTTGGTAGGTAATTAACAAAATAAATACACTTGGCAATTAGCATTGTAAGATTAGAATTTTTACTTTTCAAATAAAACACTAATATTGATGCAAATTACAAATTATGTGGCTAGGTTTTTAGACTACATGGCTTAAATTTTGCAAATACTCTTTTTAATCTTATCTTACCTCCTCAACACTTGGATTAGCTTCTGTTTTTTTCAATTTACCTTTTCTGTAAAAATAAAAATAAGCTGGACTGAAGGCAGGAAACATTATTATTTAGATCAAAAATGGAAAACAACAAAGAGTATACTATTAACAATTGCGGTTCACTTAGATAGAAGCCATAATAAATCAGAAATCAACTACCAGAAATGAGTGAAGAATGATGATACACCCAAATAAGATAATTCTGGATTTTAGAACAGGAAGTGAAATTATGCAACAACAGCTTGATGTAATAGAATATATATGACACCTCCTTTATGGCATATGAAATAAATTATTGTAATTATTTTCCCAAATAGAAAATTAGCATACACTGTCTCTCCCAAGATCCTGCTCTAAATGGCTTAATTCACCATGCTTGCATGCCTAAGTAACCTAACAAAATGCCTCTCATCATTCAGAGTGGTCTATGTCTATCACCCTCAGAATGTGCTTCTTGATTATGAGAGAATTGATGTTAACATCTTAGTTTTACCCAGTTAATCAATTCCATATTTCTGACTCCTTTCTAACCCAATAACGCTGAAGAAGAGAAAACATCAGTCAATACCTGCAGCCACCGTTTTTCAAAAGCCAAATGGATCCCCCGATGGCAAAGACAATAAAAATACAGGGGATGCTATATAGAATACGTAAGTTTGTTGTTGTTTGGGCACCTGTAAACATAGACACAAAAATATATGGTTTAATGTTATTCAGCACTAAAAAGAAATGGGCCATCAAGCCATGAAAAGACATGGAGTAACCTTAAATGCACATTACTAAGTGAAAGAAGCCAATCTGAAAAGGCTACATACTGTATGATTCCAACTATATGGCATCCTGGAAAAGGCAGAAGTATCAAGACAGTAAGAAGCTCAGGGATTGCTAGAGGTTAGGGTGGAGGGAGGGATGGATAGGTGGAGCATAGAGGCTTTTAGGACAGTGAAACTACTCTGTATGATACTATAGTGGTGGATATATGTCATTTAGACATTTGTTAAAACTCATAGAACGTACACCTAGAGTGAACCCTAATGTAAACTACTGACTTTGAGTGATAATGATGTGTTAATGTAGGTTCATCGTTACAAGAAATGAACCACTGTGGTGCGGGGGATGTAGAGGTGGAGGCTGTGTGTTAGGGCAGAGGTTATATGGGAACTCTCTGTACTTTCTACTCACTTCTACTGTGAACCTAAAACTGCTCTAAAAAATAAAGTTTATCAAAAATAAATAAAATATATATACATATATATAGTTCAAGGATGTCTCACTGTACATGAAATTCATTTCCGTGATTTTATTTTAAACAATTCTGACCCATTAAGAATTCAGATAGTTGTTATAATAAAATTGCTTTATCAACTCAGATTCTAGGGTTTCCAGCAAGACATTATCGTAAGTCAGGACTTTATTGCTCAAAGGATTTATGAATGGTAAATTCCTATAGAAGAAATGTGAAATTTAGATCTCTCCATTACAGTAAAAGCAGAGCGTCTCTCTTCTCCGATATTCAAAAATAAATAGGGAGTTGTAAGGAAGGTAATTGGAAAAATAACCCTAACTCTGAAGTCACCTTTCTTCCAGGGCATTGAAACTGAAAGGAAGTCATGGCAACAACTTTAAATTATTTATTAACCACTGGCAGCATTATAAAGCTCAATCTGACCCGAGGACAAGCCAACAAAGGAAGTGCCAGCTCTGAGAGGCAGTGGCTTTAAGACCGTGCTCCTGGGGCTCCGTGGACGTGGCTGGCGCAGCAGGAGGAGGTGAAGTGGAGGCTGAGCAGGCTGGCAGCCAGTCCCTCCACCTTCCTTCAACAGTTGATTTTTAAACTTTGGATTTCTCTGTGTTTTATTTGAAAAAGAAAAGTTTTGTTTTACGGTTAAAAACAACGTTGTTTTGAAAACCTCTCTTCCAAACTAATGCACTGTCTTTCATTGGAAGTGCACCAGCAGAGGCCGGAGATCCACCCTGCAAGGAAGACGTAAAGGAGATCCCTGCACTGGGTGGGAACAGCCTAGATGGTCCCTTCATCTCTGAGATTCTATAAATATGACATCATATTGTAATACTGGATGGTCGGATTTCATACATAACCAGGGCACAATTACTCTTCTCAGTAAATACTGCTAAACCCTTTTCTTTACAAAAACAAATATCACTTTAAGAATGAATATTGAAAAATGGCAGTTTAGACACATGGGTTTTTCTCTTCTCCCTTCTTAAAACTTACTAAAATATCAGTAAAGAAATGTTTTAAAATATAGGCTTGCAAAAACAAAGAGAACTGGGATGAAGACAAGAGCAGATGAAAGATTTCAACTTGTTTTTAGGAGAAAAATGAATGGAAGAATGGCAAATAATTTAGTGGAATAAGTAAAAACCTTAGTGTCCACAGAACTCCAGGAAGACTCAAGAATAGGAAGCACCAAATGCAGAGAAAGGGGTTTGTAGGGAGTGAAGTGTGGGGCTAAGAGTTGGGAGCTTCTTTGAAAGTCTGTATTGAGAGCAGGTAGGCTGCCAAGTCTCCCCCCACCCTGTGCAGCCAGGTCACGCACCTTCCCCAACCAGCAGAAAACAGGAAGTTTGGCCCAGAGAAGAGGAACTGGGAAGACTCCAGAGTCAAGGATCCAGACATAACGGAGGGTGGAGATGAAGGGCCAAAAGAAGAGAGGTATTACCAGAAAGTCTGAGATCTGAACACTCACACACGCGCATACACACAGGCACACTCCCTTCTCCCTCTCTGCTCCCAGAACACTGATAGGATTACCCCTCCAGGGCAAGAGCCTGGAGGGTTATTTTCTGCAGAACCTGAACAGTTTCAGAGACAACATTCAGATACAGAAGGAAATAAGGAATCCTTTATTTTAAAAAAATTTACCTCCTTTTCACCCTGTTGAAGCTAACTAGTTGACAAGCCCACCCACAGATAGCACAGCTTCCAATCCACACGTTAGTGCTTACTTTGAAATGAATGATAGCCAAGGATTACCAAAGAGTTAAGGAAAGCCACACCTGTGGAAGAAAGAGATTAAAACAAATGTCTGGAAGGCAGAAGGAACTCAGATTAAATAGAATGGATCAAGCAGAGGATGGAGGGAAAGAGAATGTCCAGGACAATAACTGGACAGCAGGTCTAGTGACTAACCAGGCCAGATAGAGCAGGAGCATGTATAAACTCAAGAAGGACGCCTCAAGAGGAAAATGAAACTGACAGATTACCTAACAAATTTGACCATGTGGGAAGTAGTTTTAAGAGAGGTTTTCCAGTTTTATTAGTGAGTTTGGTGATGATTAACAATAGGTACACGCATTATTAAAGAAACAAAAAAAGTAAAGCAATTACTAAGTCTAAGAAAAACAAAAAGTTATTCAAAAAGGAAAGTGCAAGTTTATTTCTTGATTCAAAGCTTAAAAAAATTTACATGTTCAAAATAATGTAAACACTGGCAGTTTAACCAAATGTTGCTATATCACTGTATATGAAGGATGAGGGAAGGGAAGAAGGTAAAGTTAAATTCTCATCTACCATGAGAGGAAGTGGGTACATAATGTCTAAATTTGATATATTAAGAAATAGCAATATAACCATGTTGTTTATAAAAATGGAATTAATTACCAGAAGAAACACTTGAAGATTTGAAAGTACTTGCCTCTGGGGAGTTGAGTAAGAATGGAGAGGTAGTAGGGGAGAGGCAGAGATAGGGCAAATGTTTTTCATTATAGCCTAATAGAACAATATAGACTTTAAACTACATGTGTTAGCATTGATTAAAATAACATTTAATTTTTTTAAATAACAAGAAATGAGAGCAGGACGGTAGCAGAGAGTAGAGAAAATAAACAGTGATGAGCTGAATCACAGATGTTATTATAAGACATTTAAGAAATTTCACTGGAAGAGCCCGGAGGAGAAAATTCTACCAGACTAAAAATTCATGAAGGTGATTTGAGTGACTTTATTCGTCTAATAAAATCATAAGTATTTTCTTAAAATAACACTTTATCTTTCAATTAAAACCATACATATTCATTTGAAAGTACACTACTCCAGCCAATTTACTACTAGTACAGAAGGGAACATTAAAAGTAGAATAAAGTGCATTCTATAATATAACTTTTTACAACAAATTTTGGTATTGTTCTTCTAGACAATCTCTTTATTTTGAGGAGGAGAGGGAGATCAAATGGAGGATGGGAAGAACATCCTTGAATGAAATTTCTCTGTACATTCTTTTTTCCTTCTTAAGGTAACTCCTCTGAAAGAGGAGAAAAATCAAACACAAAACTAGAAAAATTACTGACCTTGATTCAGCTCTAACGACAGACTCTTGTTGCTGGTCACATGGGAGACAGTGCAGGACACAGAAGGCACATGGTGGTCCTCCCAGGGGCATGTACTCTGGACTGTCACTGTGCCATTGCCCCAATATTCGTGCTTAGTTTCACAGGCTCTCTGTGGGGTCCAGGAGATCTGTGCAGCCGGCTTCCCTGCAATTGCCCTGCACACCACAGTTCTATTCTTGCTTTGAAACAGGGTCACCTCGGGGGGCACTGCAGAGGTGAGGGAAAAATGCTTCAGTCTTAACACATGGGATATGGAATTTAGATAGACATTCGTTTCAGTGCCAAATCTGGTTCTCTGAAATACCACAATCTATGATGTTCCTTACCTAACACTTGGAGGTGATATCCATGATGGAAATTCCCGTCAGGTGTTACCACTTGACACCCGTAATACCCATCATGAGTGATGTCCACGGGATCAATCTGAAGGGTGAGAGTCTCATCAGGTCTGGAGGCCCAGGTTATTCTCTTGTCAGTACAGTTTTCTTCCTTGGTCTCATTTGTATCTGTCCTGTAGGCTCTGGTGCAGGAAGGCTTGTCTCTGAGGACTATTTCCCATGTTGTTAGCACCACAGTTGTCAACGGGATGTGAGGGCAATAGAGCACAGCCTTCATACCCACAGGTACAGACAGAGAAGTGTTAACTGAACACACACACACAAACACACACATGCACACACACAGAGAATAACAAAAGAAAAGCTTGATAAGGAACTTCATGTGTTAAATTTATCCACAGCATATTACATGAAGTTGTACTAGAATATTAGTTTGCTGGTGATCTTATTCCAGAAATATTAAGAATTTAACATTCATGAAATATATATAACAGATTAAACCCATCCAAAGATTAACCAATTTTCTCCTATACCCTGTAACATTAGGAAAACAACACATATTATGTGTGTGACAAATTTTTTTAAATATTTCAAAATTAATTCAGGAGATGTGATATCAATAAAACAGACATGAGAAAAAAGAATGCTGAATTAAAAAACAATGTTCTAAATCTAATCTTTTGGTCATAGAGACTATTAGATTTATCACACAATTCATGCTCGTCAGGAAAGAAAATGGAATAATTAGTGATGTGCTTTCCTCCTCTTAAGTTTTGATGAAAGCAAAAAAACCCAGTAACATCAGAACTAAAGCCTATCCCTAAGGGTGGCACTTCAGACAGACATAAATGTGGAAAGTACACAGTACTTTTATTAGAAATAACTAAAATGGCATTCATGTTGAGCAAGCTGGAGATTTTTTTTTCTAATTTTTATTCAAAGAATCACAAAGTCAGTGAAATCAACAGATTTTAAATAATCTGTAATTTCATCATTGGACCATCCCACAAAAATGAAAAATGATGATGCATAGTGGAAAGAAATGCTTAGAAATATTTATTTCTAGTGAAAAAGAAGTATACTATATAAATACAATAGAAATAAAAATGAATTGTTTTCCTCTGTAAATTTTCTGAAAAAGGAATTTATTGCAAATGTGTGATACTAGCAAACATGGCCTTTGAACATTTCCCTTCTTTCCTATACACACCGCCAGTCAATTCAGCTGTGAAATTTGCTCTCAGATTTTGTTTCCATACATTCAATACAATTATCAGGATTAAGTATAGAATTGGCCTATTTTTCAATACTTTAAAGTAAAAATTAAGCCCTGCAATCATCTTCCAACATAGAAGCTCACACTTTCCCATAACCTGACATGTGCCCATGACTTTTGGGGTTTGGTGAGAGGTGCAGGTGCATCTGTTACAGCTCACCTGTAACAGAGGTGAGTGTCAGTGATTTCATCTCTTTAACATGAGCAGAACCCGCTGGGGCGGAGCAAAATTTTTATGTGGATGAAGCTCATTTTTTCTAAACTCTGCATTTAATGTCTCTCATATCGTTTTTTGGAGTCACCTGCCTCTTCTGTGATGTACTCAAGCGTTTGCATTTCAAAACAAAGATCACATAACTAGATAAAGGAAGAAGGAGGATCTTAAAGCAGATCTGAGAGGGCGGTTCAATCCATACTCTTTCCACCACTCCAGGTGGCATCCCCTTGTAGAGGGAAACCTGGCAAAGGCTTAGAGGCAAACAAGAACACGGCTTGCTGGAGAACAACTAGAGGTGGGTGTGGGTAAGCATATATGTGCACAACGGAAAGATGCTGAAGATAAAACCAGGAAGGTAAGAGACTGGTGAGATAAGTTGTGAATGCTCTTCTGCTGCTCTTGGGATTGAACTTAAGCTTGTAAGCAGAAGAAAGCTTTAATGTTTTTGCCTAGTATTTATGCTTAATATCTGACTCTATTTTTTTAAAGGAAAGTACTAGCTAATCAAATAAATATGCATTTTAACATAGGCACAGTATCCAAAGAATTAACTCCGGTGGTGAGGATTCCAAGCACTGTGGATTTCTGTCTTTCACCTTTCTTAACTCTATGAACTTCAATCAATCACTCTTCACCTATAATGAAAATTTTTGTGTTATTGCTATTATTTCACCCATTCTCTATCCTCTTCTTTATTTTTTCATATCTGTTGTGAGAATTTACCAATAGCCAGTCACTCCCCCACACTCAGTGGGTTTGGCACCTAACAAATACATTCTCCATACACTCTTGTGATCAGCTAGGGTGATTTCACCTCCTACTTCACTGAGAAGATAGAGGGTAGATTCTCATATTTGCCCCAGAACCAGCAGTCGTATCCTATCTTTTCTGCATCCTTTGTCTGTAAATATCTTCCAGTCTCATCCAGCCCTATGCACACAAATTCCGATTGGCTTTTGGGCATTTCCTTTCTTTTCTCACTACCATACCCTAGTATAAGTCCCTATCATCATGCACCTAGATTTCTGCAAAAGCCCCCTAACTTCTATCTCTGTCTCAAAACTCTCCTGTCTTCAGTTCATACCTTAACAATACCACCAGGTACATCATTCTATAACACAGATGTGATTCACTCAACTCTAAGAGAGATCTCTTTACAAATTCCTTCAGAGATCTCTCACTGCCTGAAGAAAATGTTTAAATGTCTTTGTATTGGCTTTGAAAGCTCTCTTTTTCAAATTGACTCACCTTTGCAATCTTATCGCCCCCTGTACTGTCCCACATTCCAGAATGAAAACACGAAGACAATTGCATTTCTATGTCTTTCTTCACATTGTTCCCATAGTCTGGGATGCCCTACAGAATGCTCTTTGTCTACTAAAATACTCCTCTTCTTTAAGACACAATTTACATGCTGCACCTCATGAAGCCTTCTCTGAGCCTTGGTACTTAAATGTTCCCTTCTCTACACTCCTGGTACACTTGATGTGAGTGCTTATGTCCCTGCTTCATATGACAGCTGTGCTCAGGTCTGGGTTCCCCCAAAAATCTAAGCTCCCTGAGGGCTCTCTGATAGTCTTGCTCGTCTTGCTCATCTTTGTGTTCCCCCATAAAGCCTACCACAGTGCCTGAGAGAGAAAGCTCCAAAATCTTCAAATGGAATGAAACACTTTTGGAGGAGGAGGGGCGGGGTCATTCAGGGTCCTCATACCACAGTACTCACATCACTGTATTCTTCAACTGGGCACAAGGCTGGCCCTCAGACCAGACCATCAACTATGTTTCTAAGGAAGTTCAACACTCCATCCCTTCCATACTGGCCTCTAGAAAAAAAAGCATATTACCTTCTGTAGGAGGTCCTAATTTGCTCTGCTTTCCATCCATAGATGAACCATTTACTGATACTGGAAAATATTCAGAGAAAAGTAAATGAAATCAATTTGAGGTACTTGAATGGAGCAGAAGCCACTATTTCTCAAAAAAACTTATATACAACATGATAGAAAATCAGTTAACCATAACTAAATTACACAGAAAGACTTGCAAAACAGAAATTAGAAGTTATTCCATATTAAATGGAAAAACATGTTAACATTTGAAAATTACATTTATAAGCTGTTAATCAATGATTTCCCATTTATGAGACACCTTGTTTTGTACTTGACAACTATTTTGCACAAGGTAACCCTGACTGCACCCCTTCCTTAGCCACAGTGGATTGTCCATCATGGGCACGTCACATGAGCTGGGATGATCATAGTCCTTTCTCCAGATGCCACTCCCTGATTAAAGTTGTTTGGTGCAGTAGTGGGCACCTCACCCAGCAGAACAAATCAGAATACTTTCTTGAGAGCTTTGGAACCAGAACTGAGAAGAATAGTTCATCCCTCTTCCTTCCCCATTTTTCCTACTGTGATGGTTAATTTTACGTGTCAACTTGGCTAGGCCACAAAGCTTAGATACATAGTCAAACATTATTCTAGATGTTTCTGGGAAGGTATTTTTTAGATGACATTAACATTTAAATCAATAGACTTTGAGTAAAGCAAATTAACCTCCATCATGTGGGTGGGCCTCATCCAGTCAGTTGAAGGCTTAATAGAAAAAGACTGACCTCCTGGGAAAGGGAATTTTGCCAGAAGACTGACTTTGGATGCAACCTGCAACTCTTCTCTGGGTCTCCAGCCTGCTGGCCTACCCTGCAGATTTTGGACTTGCCAAGCCTCCACAATCACATGAGCCTATTCCTTAAAATAAATCTCTCTCTCTCTCTCTCTCTCTCTCACTCATATATATAGAACACACACACACATCCTATTGTTTTTTCTCTCTGAGGAACCCTGACTAACACACCTACCTTGGGAAGAATGAAGCAGAACCAGAGAGAGAGACAGACAGATGACAGTCTTCAGCTAGCTTAAGTTTCCAATTTCGTAGTTTCTCAGACCCACATGCATTCCTTCCCTTGCGTTCTATAGAGTTTCTGACAATCAAAATAGTCCTAATTTACTTCAAATTTGGTTCTGAAAACTTCTGTTTTGTAGTATTTTTTTAAAAAAATGACAACAATGATAAAAGAAAATACTTCTTATGATTTAAGAACTCTAACAAAGTTCTCCCTCTGGGTTTATAAGACCACCATTCAATAAGCATTTATGATCTCTCTGCTTATAAAAATATACTTCCTGCTCCTTATTCTAATTTTGCACCCAACTCTACTACATTAAAAAATAAACAAAGAAATTCAATAAAGGTCTTGGAAATGAGCAACAAAGAGACCTCTGAAATAATTTGGCCTTTCTAGGCAGCTAAATGTTATGGGATTGGGCTGGAAGGAAGGCAAAGAATGAAATTCTAACAATTAAATTTAGCTCATATTGAGCTCAAGAATCTATTTCAGAAACAGATAAGAAGTCAGAGCTGACCTCAGAGGGCTTACTGAGATCAAGGTATGGTTTAGATATTCTTGATTCTAAAGCTCTATCATAGTACACGATACAGCTTAGCTTTTCCAGACCTCTCCAATTTTATCACACCCAGCTTCTCAGAGGTTCTAAGGTCTGTGAGTTTCAACTGTCAAATTCACCACCTACCAAGACTGAGTGTTTGTAATGGAAGAAAATTTAGGATGTGGGTATTTTTTGACTATGATATTGTTGGAGTTTGCATTTGGAAGCATCAAGAGGAAAATTTAAAGCTTTATTAGGAATAAGGGGTGCAAGTAAGGTGGGGTAGGGGTACCAAATCAGGATTTGCAAACTTTTTCCATAAAGGGCCAAAGAGTCAACGTTTGAGGCTTTGCAATCCATATGGTCTCTGTGGCAAGTATTGAACTCTGCCATTGCAGCAAGAAAGCAGCCATATATAATAGTAAGCAAATGGGCATGTCTTTACAGAATTAGAAAGACAAACAAGAAACATCTATTGAGTATTCTATTTTCTTCTGTTACTTTGCCTTTTAAAAATAAACTAAATCTCCATTGACAACTCCAAGTTCTACCTCAATTTATATAAATTTCCTATTCTATTTTTACCATAAGTAGCAACTTCTTCCTCCCTCCTTTCCTTCCTTTCTCCCTTCTTTCCACCCTTTCCTTACCTTAAGTGGCAAGTATTGAGGGAACCCAATAGGATTCTGATGAATAAGAAAACTACAGTGAGCCCTGCCGCATTCCCAGCTAAGGGAGCTATCTGGTGATCAAGAGGTGGCAGCCATGATAGACAAAGGCTACTCCAGTATATGACGGCTTTTTCTCATGGGCATTCTGGCCTCTGCAGCCCTGAGAGCTGCTCCCTACTTGAAGAGTATAGGCTGTTGTCAATGGAAAGTTCAAAGAACTCAGCCTTGATTGATGCATTTAAAGGGATATTTAAAGCCTTTTCTTCTATCCTTGGTATTTTATTTCATATGCCCTATAGAAATTGTTATGTTTAGTGAAACAGCAAATGAATATCATGCTCTGAACTATAAAGCTGTTGCTATTTCAGCAGATTCTCATTTTAGCCATCTTGTCTAGGAATATTGGAAATTTGGCCACATTAGTTCTTATCAGATATAACTAAATCAGTGTTCAGATACTATGGATTCTGTTAGAAGAGGCTGGTCTTGCATTAAGTAGTGTCTTCATAATTGACTTGAATGAAGTCTTTAAGCACTTGGAGTGTCAATGATGTCCCAGTGGGCTGGAACGTAGAAGAGACCTTCTGCTTAACAAAGGTTTTCCAGTGAGTGGAGGCCCATGGAGAAATCTGCCTCTTGAACCAGATACCAAATTCTCCTACCTGAATCAAGGAAAATCTACCTCCCTCTGAAGACGATCCTGAGAAGGAAAATCAGTAAATGATCCCTGCAACTTCTCATACTAGAGATAAAACCCACAAGTTGGAACATACTCTTAAATGTACAAAAATAATTGTTTTTAGAAGAGGAAAAAAAATTAGGCTGTTGTCACAAATATTCCTCTGATTGTTTTT